GACCCTTTCCAGGTTCAGCCTTGATGCGAACAGCAACCCCTGACAATGCTTTGCCTGCAGTTTGTGAGAGGCCTTCCAGCAGAGGGCTTAGCTAGGCCATATCCTGACACCTGACCTACAACAAACTGAATATTTGTTATGCAGCAATACCTAGCTAATGCAGGATGGTTATTTTTGATAATGAAGGTCTATAAATGTTTCTAAGCTCAAAAATAATTGTGCTTGGTAATTTTCTTGGAACCTGTAGACACTGTTGCTAAAGGTTTTTATTTAGTCACAAGAATACAGCACTCCCTGGCCAGCGCTTTTCAGGAAAAAACTGAAAGTCTTGCACACTGAGATAGATTAAATGACTCTGATGCTGGGGAAATAAAGGTGGCACTGAGCTAGAGAGAATATCAAGAGATAAATTCAGACATGTGATCTGGGACCAGAACCATGGGGAACTTGGCCTTGAAATACGAGGAAATACAAAAAATGTAGGAGGAAAGAGACATAGAAATTCTGAACTAGAAAAAGGAAAAATTGCAATGTTCTCTGAAAGAAAGACTATGAGACAACCTATAAGACTGAGGTGTTTCAAGGGGGGGATCAGAATGAATAGACTCTTGAGAACGCTTTGGTGATCACTAATAAATTTAAAGTGATAGTGAAGGCATCGAGAAGCCCTGAAGATGACCAATGAGCGCAGTGTGCAGGAAAGTGAAGCATTGCCCCCTCTTCTCCCTCCTCACTCTCTGCACCACTGGGAATGAAGAAGGTTGCAGGACAGACTCCAGGGAAAAGACAAGTTCCTGCTATGGTAAGGAAATAGAAAGAGGACTTTAGGGAAAAGTTAAGGTGAGGAGTCAGTTAAATAGAACAAACTTTTGAATGGATGTAGTGGAAAAGTCCCAAGGAGGGAGAGCAAATGTGTCCTGGATGTGTTAAATTGGGTAGAAAAAAAGGTCAGGACTCCATCACAGAGGCAGCTTTCAATAGCAGGGGGAAGGAGGCCAAAGGCTTAAGATGAGTTCTTGGCTACTGTTAGTTAGAAAACACCAGTTAGGTTCACTGAATTAACCATCCCCCCAATCTAAGTTAAATATTGATCCACCAGCAGCACCAACATTTTCTGCTTCACTAAGAGCACAAGATCTGGCAGCGCAAGGCTACCTCCATGAGTTGGTCCTAGAGTTGCGTTCAGGACTCAGGAAAATGATGGCACATATCCATACCCCAGATGTTTCCAGCCCTGCATTTTCCCTTAAAAGTTTTCCATTCATTTTGTACAACAATTTGCCTTATGTCTAAATTAGCACACAGGAAAGATCCCTGGACTAAGTTAGGAAGCCTGGGTCCTGGTCCCAACTGCACCCCTGGGACCATATGTAACCTCAGAACAACCTCCGTGGCACCATTTGTAAATCAAGGGGGCTGACCCCGATGTTCCCTTGAGTCCCTTTGGCACCAACATTCCAACAGCCTGAAAATGCAAAACATTAAACCGGGTCTGTGGATCATAGGGCTTAGTTTTTGGGAACGCAGTTTTCAAAAAGGAAAGCATTCCAGCCCTTATCTGTAACCTTCTGGAGACTTCCTACCCATTGATAGAATTCCCTTTGGGAAATGTTTTGAAATAGTGGACATTACCATGGAATGAAATTCTGGGAATTAATCTGCAGGAAAGACTGAAAATTTTGAATGTTTTTTTCCCCCAAACGTATGAGAAATCTTTATTCAACTGGACATGGGCATATTTCTGAAGCATCCTGTTTGCATTCTCAAAGTGGGGTTTGGTAGGAAAAAGAGCTTAGGCCAGATATCTTGCCACTTACTCACAAAGTTGTTAGGGAAGATGCACTGACAACTAGTGAGTCATGTCTAGGTCATTTCATGTCTAAGTTTTAAATTATCTCCAAGTGTTGCCACACCCACACATCCACGTACACCTCACCACCAGCGCCAGGAGATGGATTGTGAAAGAATGCCAGTCACGTCCACGAAGTGAAAGTGGGGCTTTCTCCTAACCTCCAGCATCCCTGAGGAATACTCTCTCACACCGCTGCTTGCTTCTCTGATGGTAACTCCTGAGGTCATTTGGTCCCGTCTTAGACTTTGTAAACTTGGGATAACCCAACAAAAATGTCTCAATCCATATCCCAAATTTCACATGAAAGAAGGGAATGAAAAACAGGCATGGAAACTTCCTTTAATTTCAAATGCAAGAATTTTGATTACCCTAGCCAGCCACTTGGAGACTTTGAATATCATTACTTTTTTATCATACTGTTACTAGTAAAAATAAGAATACTCTTTACAGTGGTACACTGTATAGTCCAAATCTTTTATTTTTTCGATCAGTCAACAAAGATATCTTGGACACTGTGCTAGGTGCTGAGAGGGAACTCAGTATCTACACTATGAATTAACTATACTGCAATGAAATAAATTCTATAATAGTGACATGTTAAAAGTAGGATGTAATTAATTCTGCCTGCAGGTAGGGAAGTTGAGAAAGGTGAGTGTTAAATGATGAGTAAGGGTTTGAGGATAAGTAAGAGTTATCCAGGTGTTGAAAGAAATTTGGAAGTCATTTTAGCCAAAAGGAATCGGGTGGGCAATTGTGGGATAAGTTCCTTGTGGACAGGCACCATGGGAACTTAAAGTAGGACACTGGTAATAGGGATCCCCAAGCAGGACATATTAAAAAATATTTTTGAAGCAGATTCTAAAGATTTTGGTCTGATGAAAAATGAAAAGGTCCATAGTTTTGGTATAAGATGACTCAAAAGGCCTTTCTGACTTTCAAGTGCAGGCAGATGAGCACAGTGAGAGAGAGAAATGTAATGAGTTCAGTTAGGAACATATCAAGTTAAAAGGCTGTGAACTAGAGTCTTGAAGCCCAAGAGGAAGCTGTAAATATGTGTCAGCAGCTCATGAGAGTTTGTTGGCTGATTTTTACTAATGACCATTCATAGACACAAGTGAATCAAGTTGTTCAAGATCCAGTGTTTTGAAAATGTGTTGAAAACTTCATTTCCAAAGAAAAAAGGTAAATCCCCAAATAAATACAAACTGTCTTCCAAGTTTTCTCTTTCGTCTCTCCTGAAACAAAAGTAAAAGTGGGAGGAGGAGTCAAAGATATCCCTCTGCCCTTTGATTCTGAAGATGTCATAGTGGATTTCTCAGCTCTTCAGAATCCCAGTGGAATGATCCCCAAAAGCAGTATTAGCTGTCTGAGCACTAGTTAGCTGACTTACTGCAGAGCATAAAAGCAATGAATATTTTGACAGAAAATCACAGCAATTATTTCTGGGCAGATAATCTGCCTGATGATTTCTTCCACACACTGCCACTAAGAGTTCCCTGGCAGGACAGACTTTATTGGAGGCCTTGAACGTGAAGCATGATGCCAGCTTGACACCATATGATACCTGAAAAGTGCACTGAATAAAGAGTTAAAGGACCTGCTTATAGGGTTTTAATCCCTTCTCCACCACTAATGGTCCATGTGACCCGGGGCAAGTCACCTCAGCCTTCTGAATCGCAGTCTGTTCCATAAAACCAATCTATATTCTCTTCTCTTTCTCCCTCTCTTCATTTCTCTCCCTCCCTCTTTCTTCCCCTAACCCTGTGTGTATGTTTGTGTATGTGTGTGTGTGTGTGTGTGTTTTATTTCCTTCATTGACCCTTTCCCAGGTCTCAAGAGCTTTTTAGGTCTGATTCCCATTAACTCAGGGACTCAAGTTGGAGCCAGATGATCAGCATGCTGAAAGAAATAGTGAAGGCAGGCACTTCTTTATTTCCATCTCTTTGTGGACTGGATAGTCCATCATATAAATACCTAAAAATGTATACCTTTTTGTGTTGGTTACTTTTCTCTTGTTGCTCAAACAAAATACCCAAAGCCTAAAGTTAAGGAAGGAAAGGTTTATTTAGCTCACAGTTTGTAGAGGTTTCCATCCATAATTGGGTTGTCCAAGGCAGGGTGTGGCACATGGCAGAGAGGCAGCAGTTTGTGGTGGTGGAAGATAGCAAAAGCAATGACAGAGAGGTGTGTGTGTGTGTGAGAGAGAGAGAGAGAGAGAGAGAGAGAGAGAGAGAGAGAGAGAGAGAGAGAGAGAGAGAGAGACTGTTCTTTCTGTCTCTCATTCTGTATGCAGGCTATCCGCCCTAGGGCAGGTGTAGCACTCACACCCTTAATCCCAGCATTAGACCATGAATCAATCACAAACTCTAGAAGCCCACCCTATGACTGCATAAGGTTTTTGGGGGACAACTAGACACAAACCTTGACACTTCTACTATGTGTATACATAGTATTGGTGCCTGGGAATGGAAAGTAGAATTGGAATTAGTCACTGAGTGAGAAAAACAGAATGGCCAAAAGAACTTTAAGGAGAATATCAAAGAAAGCCTGAGTTGCCTGAATTTGCTGCTAGTAAAAGTCAGACTTGGAGATGGTTGCTTATAAGGACTAAAGGAAAGTGAAGAAAACCTTGTTGGAAATTTAAAGAGAGGAAATCACTGTTATGCAGAAAATTTAGCAATATTTCCTCCTGTAGCCAAGTGAAAGAAAATGCACCTACTGTACCAAGCAATTCAAATAAGATTTCCAGGCAGAGTCTTGAAGGTGTCACCTGGCTTCTTGTTGCTTCTTATATCTAAGTGAGAGGAGGGAGACAAACTAAGAAAAGCATTGTTAAGCCAAAAGACAGTGCTTGGCTGGCTTTGAAGCTTCTGAGACTTTCAGATGGAAAGCAACACTAAAATTAAGAAATTGCTCCTAAGCAAAGATCAAACTCAAGTACCCTCAGGAAACAATGTTTTAAAGGTGAAGTCACAGGTGTAACTATAAAATCCTTTTACAAGACCTCAGAAAATTTAAAAAGTGGCTCTTCAGAGTATGTTCAGTCTGGCAAAAGGCTCTCCACAGAATTTAAAGGTTTGCCTTACAGCACTGAGATATAAGATAATCAGGGTTCTAGAATGCTTAGGGGCATTGTCCCTCAGCCAAGGATCTCAGCAGAAGCCCTACATAGGGAGAATTTATCTCAAAGAGATTTGTACAAGTGGATTTTTCTGATGAAGCAAACCTTTAAGAAATTCATGGAAGGACCACAAAGATTTTAGAGAATGATCTCACCAGAGTACTGTCAACATGGATCTGCAATGGCAAAAACAGGATAAATGAACAAGAGGCTTTGAATTCTCAAACTTTTACAAGCAGAAACAGAGTGAGGAAATCACTCAACTGCAAAAACATGATGCTATTCATTAAAAAAAAAATGACTCAGATAATGGACCAAAAGTCTATAAAACAAAACCAAGAGCTATAAACTCATTTGCAGGCAGAAGTAAGACTGGGTCCTAACAAGAAACTTACATTTGATGAATTTCAGAATTACTATGAGCCATTTATGTGTGCCTTTGTTTCTTCATTTTCTCAAAAAAGTATCTACATTGATTATCATCTGCCTATACCACCATTGTACATTGGGTATGCAGGGGATAGATAATTTGTTCCCTTACTTCTTTGGTCTATAAGTTGAAAGGACCATACTGAAAAAGCTGAGCTTAAGGAGCTATGCCTGAGGACCTGGATTTGATTTCGAAGGTGGGATTCTGAACTCTGAGCTAATGTTATTTTCTGTGTGTGTGTGTGTGTGTCTCTGTGTGTGCGTAGTATTTGGTTTTTGAATTTTGAAACAGGGTCTCACTATATAGTTGAGGCTGGCCTTGAACTCATGACAATCCCCCTGCCTCAGCCTCCCCAGTGCTTGGGTTACTGGTGTGCACCACCATGACTGTCTGGACTGATGCTGCAATGGGATGAAAGTGTGTAAGCACATTTCAAGTGCATTTTGCATGGGTGGGAAACATCCATGATTGAAAGTTAGAGAACAGACTATAGCAGCCACATTCAAGATGTTCCAGACTGATTCCCACTTCCTGGCACTCACATCCCTATGTAGTCCTCTGTCATCCTGTATCAAGACTTCACTGTGTGACCCTCTACTGTATGACAGATGAGACAGTGCATCATGCTGACTTCAAGTTACGTTATATCTGCTATCTCTTTCTTTCTCAGATCATCCACTCAAGGAAAATTTAGCTGCGGTGTCACGTATAGTCTTACAGATAGACACACATGATAAGGAATGGAAGCCTTCTGCCAATAGCCAGGTGGGTGATATTGAAAAAACCTTCTCCAGCCTCAATGAATTTGTGAATTACTACAACTTTGGTCAAAAGTTCACTGAAATTCCTGACTGAGCTAGAATCAACCAGCTAGATCCTTCCTGGATCTCTGACCCTCAGAAGCTGTCAGATTATAAATATTTGTTTTTTGAGCCTGCTAAATTTGGAGTTAATTTGTTACATAGCTAGAGATAACAGATTAATAACCAAGGTATATTTAAAGATCTGCTGTATGTTTCTATTGTAGTAAAACAGTTGGAAACAAAAATTTAAAATACAATTTACAGCAGCATAAAATATAGCATTCTCAGAACAATGTTGACAATATATGTGGGAGTTCCACATGAAAAAATATTATACATAATTGTAAAAATAAAATAACAAACTTCTAAATAAATGAGATAAATAATAAATGAGATATAAAATGTTCATAGTTTGAAAGACTATGAACATTTTGCCAATTTTTCTAAAACTGACTTTATATTCAACAGGATCTCCAACAAATCCTCAAGTTTTTTCATAGAGATTTTTAAGCTGATTCTAAAATCTACATGGAAATACTATTAGTCAAAACAATTTTGAAAAAGAACAAACTTGTAGAACTTTCTCTACCTAATTTCAAGGTTTATTATAAAACTACTATGATCAAGACACTGTGATATTAGCATGAAGATAAACAAATAGTTTAATAGGATAAAAAGTCCAAAAACACACCACATATTATATAATCAACTAATGCTTTACCAAGATATCAAAACTAAAGGGTAAAAAAAAATTTTTTTTAACAAATAATACTGAAAGAACAGCTTACCACGTCTGGAAAAGAAAAAAAATCTCAGCCAGTACAATAAAGTTAATTATAGATGGATCATATATATCAATGTAAAAGATAAAACCATAAAGCTTGTAGGAGACAACATAGAAGGAAATTTTGCAATCATTGAGTATGTCATGGTTTTGTAGGCTTCAGAAAGCAGCAAATACAAAGACAAAAAATACTAGTTATTTTTAGCAAAATTTAAAATTTCTACTAATCAAAAGGCACTATAAAAATAAAAATCAAGACAAAGTGGAATAAAATATTCACAGTGTCTGGCAAAGGACATATTAAAAATATATTTTCAATACACTTACAACTCAATAACAAAAAGATGAACAACTTATTTTAGGATAAAGAACTTGAACATGTACCTGATGATAGTATATAAATAACCAGTAAGCACATGAAAAGATGCCTGACATCATTAGTCATCAGAGGAATAAAATTAAAACCATAAGATACTACTACACTCACTGAAATGGCTAAAATTAAAAAGAATGACAATACTATCAACACTGGTAAGGATGTATAACAAATGGAAATTCCAACATTTTGGTGGGAATGTCAAATTGTATTTTCTCTTTGAAACTAAATCTGATACTTTGTTGTAATGATACACCTACCTTATGACTCAGTCATTCTATTTGTAGGTATTTCCACCAAGAGAAAATAAACTCTATAGCCACACAAAGATTTGTACAAGAATTTCAAAGAAGCTCTGTTCATAACAGCCAAAATTAGAAACTACACTCTCACCAAAAAGGAAATAGACAAATGTGGTATATCCATATAAATAAGTATGATTCAGTAATATAAAAGGGACAACTACTGGTACACCCAACTGTATGGGTAGACTTCAGAACATGTGCTGAGTTAAAGAAGCCAGACACCACAAGAGAGTTCATACTGTGTAGTTCCATAGGTAAAACTAATCTCTAGGGAGAAATCACAAAAGTGGTTTCCATTGAGGGGGCTGGAAAAGAGAAAAACGGTTTTTTCAGGGGTGACACAATGTTTGATACCTCAAGTTATATGGCTATATAACATGGTCAAAATCCATTAAATGTGTACACCACATCTATACATTTGCTTGTTTAGAAATTGAAGCCCAACTGGGCCAGAGATATAGCTCAGAGGCACAAGCGCCACTTAGCAAGCACAAGGTCCTGAGTTCAATTCCTGGTACCAAAGAAAAGAGAAAGAAATTAAACCCCAACTTGTAAAACCATTAAAAACAGCAAATACCTATATATCATTCTAATGAAAAATATCAAAGACTTTTACAAGAAAAATATCAGTCATAATCAAAATAAATAAATTCTTCCTAAATAAACAGAAGAATATTCTGTGCTCATGGCTTGGAAAACACATATAAAGTTATCAATTCCTTGTAACTGACTCCATGCACCACTAGCATCCCTGTGAGAGCCAGGCTGAACCCCAGACATCTTCAGGAACCCCCATGAGCTGCCCCTGCTCCTCCCTCAACAGTGGGCAAGGCAGGCGGAGAACCGGACACATTTTGGGGCCTCAGCGGCCATTCCAAACACCACCTACACCCCTGTGGGAGCCAAGCTAAACCCTGGACAGAGTCAGTGGCCTTGGGGACTCTGCCCTAACCCCTCCCCTACCTGGGTGGGAAGTAGGCTGGGTCCTGGGCAACATCTGAAGCCTCACTGACTACAACCTGCACCCCCACCCTTGTAGAAGCTGGGCTGAATCCCAGACAGCTTCAGGAACTCCAGTGAGCCTCCTCTGCCCCTCCCCCACCAGCCTGGGACCCAAATGAATGCAAGAAAGTTTTGGGAGCATCTGCAACCCCACCTTGCTCCCACACACCACTACAGGAGCCACGCAGAACACTGGGGACCTTCGGATCCTCACCTTACCACTCCACACCATCATGGGAGTGAGGCTGAACTCCAGGGAATCACAAGATCTTCAAAAATGACAAAACAAAGGAGTAAAATGCAATCTCAGAACTCTAACCCACCCAGAACAAGTCCAGGAGACATCAACGCAGAAGAGCTTGGAAGTCATATACCTGAAATTTCTGAAAAGATAGCAACTGAAGTAAAGAAACAACTCTATCAGACCACAGAACACATCAGATCAAAAATAATGTCTCAGGTAAAAAAAAAAAAAAAAGAAAAAGAAATGACAATAATAATGAAAGAATTGTTCAGCACATCCAAAGAAGACATTGATAAGAAAGCATAAAAATCTCATGGAAATCTTGAGTGATCAATATAGAAAAGAACTAGAAAGCATGAAACAGACTCAAAAAGAGGGGCTGGGGATTTAGCTCAGCTGCACAGTGCCTGCCCAGCAAGCACAAGGTCGTGAGTTTGGTTGCCATTACCGGAAAAAAAAAAAAAAAACCCTTCAGACTTAAAAAGATATCCAGAAATTTTAAAATTCCATCAAAAGTTGGCAAAACAGCTGCAATGAAGCTGAAGATAGACTTTCAGACCTTGAAGACAGCATTGCCACTAACAAACATAAAAGGAAAGAGCTCTTAAAAATAAAAAAGAACCAAGAAATAACAATTCAACAACTGCATGATGAAGTAATGAAAAACAATGTAAGATTAATAGGTGTCAACAAAAGAGAATGTGTCAACACAAATGACACAAAACAACTATTTGCAGAAATAATAGCAGAAAATTTCCCAGGCATGGAAAAAGAATCAGACATACAGTTAAGTGAAGCATATAGAACTCAAATTAGCCATAACCAAAATATCTACACCCAGACATATAGTGATCAAGATCCCAGAAATTCAACAAAAGATCAGAATATTAAAAGCTATTAGAGAAAAGAAACAAACCACATATAAAGGAAAGCCTATCAGAATCATGGCAGATTTCTCAACACAAACCATCAAAAAGAGCTTAGAGAAAAGTATTTCAGGTCTTGAAGGAAAACAACTTCCAACCCAGATTAATGTACCCTGCAAAACTATCCTTCAAATTTAATGGAAAAATAAAATACTTAAAAGATAAGGAACAACTGAAGAACTTCATCAGCACCAAGCCAATTCTACAAAGAGTACTAAAAGATATTCTAGAAAGAGCTGAAAAAGACCACAACCTTAAGAACAACAATGGAAAGGAACCACTAATCACAGCAAGCAATTAAAAAGAGAGAAAAAGGAAGATCCAACAGCAGGAAAATAACATGACAAAGATAAGCTAATACATAGCAGCTATAACTATCACTGTAAACGGTCTCAATTCACCGATCAAATGAAGCAGACTGGCAGAGTGGATCAATAAACAAAATCCAACTATATGCTGTACACAATAAACACATTTAACTCAAAAGGAAATTCATAGACCGAAAATTAAAGGATGGAAAACAATACTCCATGCAGCAGGAACCCAGAAAAAAGCAGGTGTACCTATTCTGTTGGCAGACAATGTGAACTTCAAACCAAGAACAACAAAAAGAAATAAAGAAGATCACTAAATACTTGTGAGGGAAAAACTTCAAGAGGAAGAGATAATAATCATGAACATCTATTCACTAAATACAGGAGTACCCAACTATATAAGACAAATTTTAACAGACATGAAAAATGAAATAAGCAGCAACACAATCATAACAGGAGACTTTAACACACCATTGTCACAGACATAGATCAACTAGACAAAAAGTCAGCAAAGAAATAGCAGAACTTAAGCAAACTTGTGAACAAGTGCACTTAGTAGAACTTTACAGACTGTTCCATCCATCTTCTCAGCTGCACATAGGATGTTCTCTAAAATTGACCATATGCTAGTACATAGAACTTGCTTAAGTAAATACAAGGAATTTAAATTATGTCATGCATACTGTCAGACCATAGTGCAATGCAATTGGAAATTAATGACAAAAGATATCACAAAAACTCCATAAACACATGGAAATTAAATAATACCCTCCTGAGCAACCAATGGGTCACAGATGAAATCAAAGAAGAAATTAAGCAATATCTACAATCAAACAAAAATGTAGATACAACTTAAAGGAACCTGTGGAACTCAATGAAAGCAGTCCTTAGAGGGAAATTTATAGCAATGAATTTCCACCTCTTAGAGCAGTGAATTCCTACCGCTTACAATGATAGTTATAACTGCTATGTATTGATGTCTTCGTCATGTTATTTTCCTGCTGTTGGATC